GACGGAACGAGAAATAGTTAAATCTGTAACGAAGGATGCGGAGAGAAGAAGGAACGACCCTAAAGATGGGGTTGAACCGATGGCGATGGTACTTTCAGACGTAAATTGCAAATGTTCCGGAGAACCGGATAATCGGATAATCAGCCAGACTGTTCTGTCTCCGCTTGCCATTTCCAATATCTGCTATCCCCGAGACATCGACCTACGGATCAACGACGAGTTATCGTCGAAATAAAACTACACGCATGCATCTAAAGCGCTTTATCGTCTCGATGGAAAACGATTCTCTTTTCGCTGGAGATTATTTCGCTTAATTTTTTGTGAAATATTCGTACCCGTCTAGACTAGCGATAACTTCCGTTATCGAGGTTCGAAGGTACTAGAGGGTAGCTGCTCCCTTTGCTCCGATTCAAACGTGGAAATCCGCGGCGCGGATTATCGAAACCGAATAATAAGGAAACGGACGAGAACTGATTGTTTTCTGCCGATTTCAGTCTTTAAAGGTAACTCGTTAAATATTCATAAGCGGTTACACTTAATTCGTCGAAGCGCGGACCACGCCGGTCTCCCACAAAGACGATGGCTCCTGTTTCGCCCTTTGCTATCCGTCGACAACCCTTTCGATCATTTCTTTTGACTCGATGATGAAGGCCGCTTAAGATCCCAGGACTTTGTACGTATACTCGATCGAAAAGATCGCTTCGATTATCGATCATGTTTGCCACGAAACACCGCGACTTTTCCTATAGCCATCGAGAGTCGCTGGTCGTGCAAGGCCTTAAGAGCACTTCCGGCTGCGCAACGTTACCCCTCGTCCTTTGAGGGCCGCGTAGTCCCTCCAGGCTCCAAAGACGGGGATCCTCCGGTTAAATTTACGATGACCGTAACAAATGTTGGGACAGCGATTATTTGCATACTCGGATAAAAGTTTAATGGCAGTTTTTGCTCGTTTATGTCCTTAAAGTTCATTTCTTTAAAAGTTGATTTACAAGTCAAATTTTACGGAGAAACGTAAAACCAGCGCATCGAATATCGCCCTAGCCAATTACCGATAATTGAAAAACTCGGCGAACTCGCGATGAACACGGCTGAACACGGATACTCCGCGAGTCGCGTCGGAAGCAGTTTAAGAGAGTGCACGCGCGAAGAACAGAACTTCTTATCCGTATTGTTCGTTTATTCGTCGCCGTTCTACGCTGTGGAAATATTGTTTTAAATTTTGCCGGGAAAAATTGACTGCGTCGAGAAAGAAGAGTGGAAACTTCTTGAAACGACGGGCGCGGCGGCACCTTTTTCCCAGAGAGAACTTTTACGGGTGAAATCTTCGAATGTACTGGTAACAACGATACCGCATGTACCGTTTCTTGGAACGGTTTTCACTCGTTCGCGCGATCCTTTGATGAAAAGTAGACAAAGAAGGACCGCGGGGGACAGTGAACTGCTTACACGAGAAGAAGTTTTCGAAGCGGCTACGAAAGGACGGAAGTTTGCCTGGAACTATGCAGGCGACAGTTACGGACAGTTTCGCGAGGCAAAACGATTCGTCCGATTCGAAGTTTGTTATCGCTAATAGCTACCAGTTACCAGCTCTATTCGATTTCGCCTTGTTCTATCGCGGTTATACACACGTACGCCCGCGACGCGTTCTCGCTGTGTAATTTATACGCGACGCTATGTTTCAATAGCCTTCGCTTTTAACGGCCGCAATAAGCAAAAAAGAGCGTAATAAAAGACTTTAACGAATTTCGTTAAATCGACGACAGACGGTGCTTAAAAAACGGTCCTCTTTGTCGCGAACGAAACGAAAGTTTCGGCAAAAAATAAAATAAAAGGCAAACGTGTTCGCGTCTAATTGGCCAACTAATTTCGTATGAAACGAAAGCCGATCGACGGGCCAGGTGAAAAAGGTTGAGTGGAAACGACGCACGCGATCTACGGTCTCGCGGAGAAACGAAGAATCGATTGAATTTAAGTCCAGACACAAGTAACCAATCAGTCGTCTTGTTGCGAGTGCAGTTAGTATAGAGTTCCGGCTCCCGGTTGCGGTGTGCGGTCTGCGGTTCGCGATATCGAGCATCGCGGGCTGCGGAGACACGTTCGTTCGCTGGTGGCATTGTTTTCGAGGGGAGGAAAAAAACGATTAATCGTTCGCTGACTGATTTGTAATTGGCTTAGATGCTTCGTGCACGAATCGGAGAGCAGACAACTGGATATTCGGGGAAAAACAGTACCGATAGTTGACTATACCCAGACTTTATACCGGGTACGTTGCATCATATTGTCCTTTACGTCACATTCGCCCACCACGTAATATCAGTTCATATCCATTTGGTAGTTGTATTTTTCACAGACGAGAATCCCGAGGGTCGTACTAAACTGAGAAAATAGTTGAGGTACGATTCTGACACCGTCTACAATGCACGCAAGTTTCCCTTACATTTTCTAGTATTCCTGCGAGCTTGCTAAGGCAACCGTGCGGAAATTCCCACGCGGTGCATAAGCTATCGTGATCTCAAGTTTCTAATTACTAGATGCTATCCCGCGCTACCGGTGACACTCGCGATTATGCCAGCGTAATAATCGTTTAAAGTACCACAGTACGAGCGTAAAACTGTCCGTAATAACGTGGCAGGAGGCGTAACTCATCGTCGCGGTGCACAATAGGCGCGATTATCACGTTTCGATCAAATGTTCCACGATTTTTATACGAAAAATACCACTCGTACCCACTTGTACGCCGTACTGCAACGCAATGCCAGGAAACTCGTTGATACGTGCAAAGTCGATGAATCGTGCATGATTATAATTGCACGATAAACAGTTTCGTTAGCGAATCGCGCACCGTATCTCGATAACGGTGGGTTCGCGTTATGTACTCGGAGGGTTTATCGAGATCGATTTTAAATGCGTTAGACAGCCCAACCGATCGACTTCCCGTAATTTTCTGAAACAAACGTAGGTGGAAGCATGTGCTGCCCGGTAATTAATTGCCGTCCTAGCGATCGCATTTACGTCGCTACTTATGTACCTGTGGGCTGAGAGCGTCATTAGCGATGGCAGCAGACGGAGAATTCCGGTTTGTCGACCGGACGACGCGACGCGACGCGATGTCTTGATTCTGTGCTGCGTATCGTTTCGTTATTATTCGCGAAATACAAGCTCGCGGCCTCGTCAGCCGGTGAAAGGACATTTTCCATCGTTTGCGTTTTTTAGCCTGTGTGTTCACCGTCCTTCCTGTTTTCGATATCTTTGTCCGCCGTTCTTTCTCCTTTCCTCCTTTGTCTCGACGCGGACGGTTCTCTCTCCGTTACCTATTCGTCGTTCTCGTCGTCTCTCTTTTGGTTACGGGCGACCAACGCTACCACCCTTTTGCATTTCTTCTCTGCGCTTTGCTGTCTCGACCGTGCGACTTTGCTTTTCCTTCCTTTTTTCCTCCATTTCATTCGGTCTTCTTCAGACAATGAAAAGCCTTCGCTCAGAGGTAACCGGGAAACGATAGGGAATTCCACGACGATAATTGTTGGAGATTTCGCTTTTATCGCGGCCAGAAGTAGATCTGGATGCGGTTGAATTTTAATCTCGGCCTCTTTGCTAGTATTCCACCTCCTCCTTCGTCGACATCCACTCTTCGTCAGGCCTAGGATGCGGCTGAAAGAATTGGCTTCGCATTGCCATCTTCGTTCGCTGGTACGCTCGAATTAACGAACTTTGTTCTTAACTAGATCAAATTTTTGCGTTTCGATTTACTGCCTTTCGAATTAGCTTCGATTGCTATCATACGTGAAAATATTTAACGTACAGAGGTCCGGGGTAACAAACAAAAGTACGAACCGCATTGTTCATGGCCGATAGAAAATGAAATTCTTTCTTTGAATTGTAGTTTATAAATTTAATTATGTACCGAGGTATTCGAACTAATATTCCGGAAATGCAGTCAGAGCATCGTTGCAAATATCATTCGAGTTTGCGAGACCATTGTACCGACTCGTGTACGTATTTGGCGCACGGTGGTGCTGTAAAAGCAAAGCTTTGTACACTACAAGGTATTAAAAGTTCTCTGTCTGCTTTACATTCTCGTATGCTCTCCGACGCCAAGAACGCTTTTAATGTTTCGAGTTGTATTAATCGCAACCATTTCGTGCTTTCGTGCGAGGCGTGCAAAAGCAGCGGTAAAATTTCTCGCACGTCTCGCGGTCAATATTCGGTTAGAATTCATAGGGATTGGCCGACACGTTGACGGTTTCACGAATCGCTTTATGGGAAAAGTTGGAGTCGTCTCTCGGGATTCTCGAGGATCATTACGGTTGTTTACGTGTTCGATGCGATCGAAATTCGATTCGGATTGCTTTACGCGTCCTTTCACAGAGCGCTGCGCGAAACGAACACTCAAAGGGAACGATCCATTTCCTTTTCGCTCGAGAAATCGATTTTTGATTACATATTTTTAAAGATTACGAACCGAAAAATATATTTTCCGAATATTAAATAAAGATCGAACAAATTACAAAAGAAATCGTCTCGTAAATCGTCTTGTTCGACCAAGAAAACGACTGCCTCTTAATGTGTCAACGTCGCGCGAACATTGGGGCTTCGAGAGCAACGGCAACACGCTTTGTGTGTCAGGCGTGTGTGTACCCATATCTCAAAAGTTCTCGCGAGCTCGCCTGACGCTCGAATACTAAATGAGTCGGGTCATCGAGTCTCACAATATGGCCCGGCCTCCATAGCCCAGTAATTATTAAGAAAAGTTTCACCCCTAGGTGGGTGCGAGGGTCGGCTTGGCGAGATGCAGGACTGCAAAAGGGGTCGTTGGTGTGCCAGAGAGCGCACAAGGGTGAAAATTCGCTAGTGCTCGCTTTCGTATACCTTTACGCTCGCCAGATGCCGAAGGTCGACCGAAATTAACTTTCGTTGCATGGTTGCGCTCGTGAAATTTCGCGTATTGCGACCGGGGAAAGAATTTGCTCGGTGCGATAGCCTCGTAGGCTATTTTCCAATCGAAACGTCATTTGTATGTATAAAAACACGTGACACTGGAATTGCAAAGCGATTATTTTCTGGCTATTAATTTAATTACTGTACCAACTGGAATATGTTTCCCCCTCATTTATAACAAGGATCTAGTATTTACGGAAGCCTCGGAGATGCTCGATTGCGTTTTTCTTTACCACAGCGAAGTCCAGCTATCCCACTGATAATTATCGGTCAGTTCGCCTTTTCGTTTCAACCCCTTGACATTCTTTTCTGGTGTTAGGTTCGAGTCAGGACAAAACAGATCTGTACGTGACCGAAGAGCGAGCGAAACGCAAAATGCGAAATGCGCGGTTAAAAAAGAGGGAGGGAACCGCCGGTGGAGGTTCGGGAGAAACAGGGGGTGGGCGCGGTATAGGGGAGGAATTTCGCGCGTGCTCCGCTTCATCCCCCTCGATTGCCGCCGCCGCCGCCGCCGCCGCTGCTGCTGCTGCTGCTGCTGCTGCTGGTGCTGGATGCTGAGGGTAGCTGGACCGCGCGCGCGAGGTGTCAGTTCTACGCGCGACCTCTCCCCCGAAGGTGTCAACCTACTCGCGACCTGGTCCAAGGTGTTTGCCAAAGTCCCGTGCTACCGACGAGTCTGTCCTCGCGAGTTTCACTCACTCGTTTCTTCGTTTTTGTTTGTTCGTCGTTCTGGTCAATCAAGAAAGCCCGAGCAGTGCACGCTCGACTTTCCTTCCGCGAGAGGAAAAAAGCAGAAGTTCAACTGTTCATCTGGCACGTGACACGGCTCCAACAACGCTATCATGTTCGTCGGGATATCCAGAGGAAGCAATGTACGTGAACACGTTACTTTTGCGAGCACGCGTATTATACTACCGCTTTTATTTAATTTTTTCTTGTTTATTTTTTTGTTTTTTTTTGTTTCATTTACTCCCGACGTAAATTTCCGACGAGGATAACCGATCGGATTTGCGAAAGTTCTCTGTTTTTTGGAACGTTTGGAACATTTCGCCCGCGACCAGACCGAGAAACGTTTTTCCACGATAAAACGTTGACTAATGACGCGCTGACCGAAATGCATTCAGCCAGTCGGAATTTCGCACGTTTATCTCGATTCCACCTCGTGGAGTTTCGCGCACGAAGCGCGCGATATCGACGATACGTGAACTTTGGCGATAACCGAACCGCGGTGTACGCATACGCGCCTGCGTTCGAATACGTTTAACGATGCGCTGTATTTCTCGATAACATATACGTATACATATTGGACGGTGATCGATGAGTTGTACGGCAACTATTCAATTTCGCGAACCTTTTTCGTTCGTCTGCGTCGCTGTTTAATGTTTTCGATCTTCTCCGTCTCTTTAATTCAACGATGGAGCATGCAAGCTGTTTTCCTCGTTTTCGCGTGAACGATGGCATCGTTGCCGCGTTCCACTTCTTTTGGCCAAAATTTCTGAAAACGTCGAGTATTCTCGTAAGCAGTTACGAAAGCTTTATATCATCGAAGCTGGTTCCTCGGGTGGCGATAATTTATGGGAATCGAGTAACTCGCCGCGCCGGCTCATGGATGATTAATTAACACCAGACTCGGTAGCCTCGCGCGTCTCGCCGACTCATATTTTCTTTCGATGATCAAGACAGTTTCTTCTCACAATTTCTATTGCTTCCGCTAACTTTCCGACGCGTCGTCTTTTTTTACAGGCCGTTCTTCTTTACGACCCGTCTACTACTTTCGCACGTTTTCAGCTCGGCCAATACCACTCTCGTCGCTTCGCAAGTATTTACCGGAGGAAAAGTTCATTTCCGCCTTGCATTTTTTAAAAGTAGGCGACAGCCATCCACCGCCGCGTTTCTCTCCCGCCTACTCGCGCTTTTCTCACAATAGTCGAGCAACAAGTTTAGTTCAAGGATTTAAATACAAGTCGCCTTCGTGTCTACTTCGAATCGAAAGATCGTGAAGTAGCGTTAGTTCGTTACGCGACCGCAGAGGGAAAATGTTATTTTGTAATTGTCGATTGAAACGCGGGACAGAAAGATGTCTGGGTTAGTTTTCTTTTTTCGGCGGTTTTTGAACATTCAAAACGTACAGTTAAATCGCCGTGGTGAACGTTAAAAATTTCGTTTGAAAATTTGAATTACACGATCGCTCGTTTTGGCCGCTTTAACGAGAATCGACAAATCGATCGACAAATCCCCGATTTTGGGGACTGCTTCGTCGTAGAACGTTGGCTCGTAACGATCGAATTACCGTGTCGCGCGGTGGTACGATAAATTTCATCGGTTTTCACCCGCGTGCAATATGGTTTTCGATAACTGGTTCGCATTGTTTGCTCGCGTTTTGGCGCGCCCGCAATTATGCAAACGAACATAAGGGCCGGGTGCGCATTAACGCGAGATATTCGATGCCGATCGTTGGCGTGTAAAATTCACGATTCCGGTAATGATCAAACCGTACGGGAGGAATATATCCTCGCGATATCAAGGAGGAGTGAGCCTTTATGCCCATTCGATTACCATATCGAGGATCTTGACCGTGTAAACTCGCAAAGCACTCGGTGACTCCTTGAACGACCGCTTGAAGACGCACACCCTCTACGTTAAGAGTCCATGCCAGCAACGGGCCGCGAGCTTTTAACAAATACTGTCTTTGCAACGCGAGAATAGTATAGTATTCGGATATTAGGGTACTCGGTAACGCGAGACTCTGCTGTACTTGGATATAATGGAGCCTAAAAGGAGCTTCCGCGAAGGTTACTTAAATTAGTTTCCTCCGACAAGCGGTTCCCTTTCGAGCTAATTCCGCGTCACGTTTCACGGACAGTCGTCCGCTAAGTGTCCTTAATTGAAAAACGCATAAATCCTGAAACGGCGCGAAGGACGCCTAATCCTATTTCGGCTGATCCTCGTAGACAAGCGCGGGCAATTTTCGTTTAATCGAGGCGACGAGACTCGCGTCGCGACGGTGCCGGTGCCCCGACGTTAAATGCATTTAAGGGGAAAACGAACGATGAAAGAAGAAAACGGGCGGAGTAAGTCGCGCGAGAAAAGAATTTCTTCCATCCTAACCTTCGGCTCGGAAGATGCGACAAATGAAGCCCCTCCTCCTACTATCTGCGCGTGGCCGTCTTTTTCTTTGCAGTTTTAAATCTTCCCTCCACCCCTGTACGTATTTCCACTCAATCCCGTGATATCATTGCGACGATCCGTGATTTTCGCGTGTCGGTCGTCCGTTTTACCGACCGTTATCGATACCCACCGACGCAACGCGACGCTGAAAGCAGAATTCCACTCTCGGCTCGAGCTAATATTTGCGTGCAATCGCAACGGCAGCGTTCCAACGAGTTTATCGCAAGTCCGTTAATATTCAACGATCTCGCCGTTGACTCGTTATTTACGCAACTCTCGTTAGGGCTGGACCTTTAAAAACTTCTCGCGAGACAGTAGCGGGTACATAATTAGAGAAGAGGTGGGCGGATTCAAGAGGCTTTCTGGTCTAGAAGGCTCATAGAGAACCGTATTTTCGCGAGTTTCTCCCTTTAAACACGGTTCGCGGTGGCTTTTTTTTTAATCTGTACACATTTACCACGAACGTTTTACTTCGCAAAATTGTGTACGTGAAAAATCAACCGGTCAGATGGTATCGAACCTGCGACGTCAAACAACGGGAGACGAAGTAGTGATTTTTTGTATAGTTTTCGTTCGTTTTACTCGGGAATGGTTTCTATCGTACACCGTCCGATTAAAAACGAAGCAAACAAATAAAGTGGCGCGAGTAGTTGAGGCGAGCAAAAGCTTTCGACGGAGACGATCAATGTTACATTCGAGGGGTGAAACTCTCTTAAAATGTCGTGCGTCGAGCGAATCGCTGGTAAAATGTAGGTCGAGCGAAATTACACGTCACTTCTTATTACTCGCGTCGAACGAACTCGGCGTGTACGCGGAGAGGTTTGTACGTGCATGGGACATAACTACCTCGTCGACACCTAGGTAAAGATCGGTAAAAACAACGACGAGGTTTTCAAGCTTTGTTCCAGTCGGAAAATGTACGAGCAGATCACGATGCTCGGCACGCACCGTCGACCAAAATTTTGTCGCGCCCAGTCATAAATTATCCAGCGATCCTTCTTGTAACGTTTTCTAGGGAACGCTTTTCGCGAGCAATTGCAACTCCGAAGTGGTATTAAAATTCTTGCTAAGTTTCCTTCGCCGACAAGCGTAATTTAAAGAGAGGCTATCTATAGTAGCATCTTGATTGGTGCGACTATGATTAAAGCGATATCCGTTGATTGCGGGTCCGTCCGGAGAGGGTATCGTCCGATGCCGTCGAGTTGGCGAGCAGCGAACCCCTTCGGTCATGGCGGTTTAATCTCGGCAGCCGTCTTTCCTAATCCCTCTATCCGCGCCATGAACTCTTATCTCGTCGGTCAAGCGCACGCGGCATGCACGAAGCCGGACGAAGTCGTAAAATAAACATACAAAAGGAAAGGACGAGTGTGCAGGACGCAGTGAATCGGTGCTAGCTCGAAACTCCTGGGCGCCGTTTTGTTAACTCGGCGAAACTATTTCTACCGACGCGCGTTACCATCCTCGGATTCGAGGGTTGAAAAATGGCAACCACCCGTGGAGCACGGGGCAAGGGGAACCGGTGGCGATTCCAAGAGCTAAAGGACATTACATAGTACGTTCAACAAAAGTTTTCCGTGCGTCGTGCAGAGTGGACACTGCTCGATTCCTGTTTGGTCCTTGAAATTTACATCCGTCTCGTAGGAATATATACAATTATTTTCCTTCGCCCCCTTCACGCTCCTCTCTCTCTCTCTCTCTCTCTCTCCATGTTTCGTATTTTCCTGCCGTGGAGAATAGCAGGTGAGTTTACTCGGACCAACTTATGCCATTTGCTATTGCTCTCTTCCTCTGCCCCCCGCTCTCTTTCTCTCGCAGTTCCGAGTACACTCGTTCTTTAGTCTGGAAAGTTGCTGGCCCATCTCGAAAGTAAGCTTGCAAAACAACCGCCGGTGTTTTCTGCACATGCGTGCGTAATCGCGTGCCGTTTTATTTTCCTTTTCTCGAATAACTCTGGAACGCGGCTCCGCTCCACCGTACGTTGGAACGCGGTTGTTGCGAGAGTCGATGGTAAATATCGTCGATTATTTTCCGGTAAGCTCGTTATCCTTGACGCGTATTTAATTAACCCCTTAACGCTCGGGTATTTTCGACGTTACCAGCCTAGAATGATCGAGTCTCCTCTGCATTATATTATATTCCGAGGCAGAGGTGGGAAATGTGCGATCCCACGTATAACGTACTGTAGTGTCCGCGCCTCCCATACCCAACAATAAGGAGTCAAATAAGAACACGAAACGTAGGGTACGGGATTGGTCTTGTAGGTAAAACGGTCGACTGTGGGTCCGAGGATCGTGGCTTCGAATCCCCGTGCCTTATTTATCGTTTATACTAAACTGTTTCAAACTCTGGTTCGCGAATATCTCGGGGCAGGAAAAGTTGGAAGGAAACATGTCGAATCGAAAGCTCGATGAAATTTTTTCCACGAAGTCTCGCCGCTCTTGGCTTCCTATATATTTTCCAAAATAAGACCGGAACTCGTGTGCGCGTTCCAGGCTTTTAGGTAGACCAAATCCCTTAAGGGGTTAAAAACGAGGAGTTGCGCGTCAACTGCGTGCGACGAAGCGACGGAACTCGCTCGATTAACTCGCGTAATTTACATTCGCAAAGTGGAACGATAACTTCGTAGCGCTGCGAGCGGCTGCGTGGTTAATTTGAATACGAAATTTCATTGGAAAGACTGATATCGTTTGTATTAGTAAATATT